TGTTACACCTAACTACTCAGTGAAATAGCGCTAAGTCCTAGCTGCAAGACGCAAGAGTCTTGCAGGCTATGTCTTGTTCTTGCTCAAGTCTTGCACGGTCAGTCTTGGTCTTGGTCTTGCTAAAAATACGCGGTCTTGTTCTTGGTCTTGGTCTTGCAAAAACGCAAGAACAAGACCAAGACTGCAAGACCAAGACTGAATTTGGGCAACACTAAATGGAATTGGATGAACAAAAGAATAGCGAGGGATTTTTGAAACTATTTTAGGGTTGCGGTGTACAATACATTAAAACACTAATTTAAAACTGTAAGACTTTTAGTTTTTATATGTATACAAGAAAATGATATTTACTTTCTATTTGGTTGAACAGGTTTGCATTACACTTTTACGCTTGTGATACGTTGATATTGCGCAGCTTGACATTTATAATATCTAATTCATACGATACTTCCTTGATACGAATGCAAATTAATGCAGTAATTGACAATCCCATGATTAATAAAATCTGTTGGATGATGCCCCTTTTGAATGCCTATCATGTATATTTGTATATGTAAATTCGTGAATTGAAAAGTTATTGCAAAAGAGATGAATTACAATAGAGAATTTATGCAGACACTTGTGGATATTATTTACATATTATTAAACGTAAACCTTAAGTTAAAATACTTCAAAAAGTTTAAGTAAATAAATGTTTAAATAATTGTCGTAATTCAATTTTTTGCTTGTAATAACGTAACGTTCAAAACGTACAAATTAATGGTGAGCTGTGTTATAAAGGAGTTTTGATGAAAGGGTAACGTTAATGCTATTTTATATGTATGTGGAAAAAAGCATTTGTTATAATTTATTTACTTTCTCTAGCGATGTGCCCCTTCCAATGTCTTGGATGCGCGCTGGCAAAATCGTAGGTAGGGAGAAAAATGCTCATTATACTTTCGACTCTTGTTTATTAAACATACTTCTTCATACAGTACCTGCCAAAAGTTTTATTCAATCATGAATGGTAGTGCGAGTCGAAAACAAGCGTTAAGACCTTTAATATGTCTTGAAATATAAATAAACATCTCGTTGATATTTTCAGTAGTAAATGGTACCAATAAGAGCACATTTGAGCAATGAAAATGTAGTGGATAAAATGGCCAATTTTTCCGTGCAGTACTGTACGGATTATACGATCCTCGCCGGTTAAGAGAGTTGTCTCCTTCCTTTTCTGGCCTAGTGCTGTTCTTTTCTACTTTGCGCCGGTCAAACTTAAGGTCACATCGCTACAGAAAGTAAACGAAATATACTATTATTAGGGTGTCCAAAAGGTCGAAAGAGAAACCTCTATTGTTGGATGCAGGGCTGTAACCAAACTGTGTAATTAGGATAGGTTCAAAATGATTCCAGGTGGACTGAAGGCTGAATTTTTCCAGATTTGTGTCGACATATTTCGCAGTATTTTCGTTAATTTTGTTTGTAGTAGATATTTTATAAAAGTGGGCACAGTAACTTCTTATACATTCACACTTATTGTGAGTGTTGATTCTTGATCCTTCTTGTATCAACAAAGTAGAAGGAACGAGTTAGGAGCCTTTTTATTAGAAAATGAGGAATAGGCGTATGGGTGGAAAGAATATTTAGGGAATCCATATGCAGAATATGAGTTCAGAGATGTATTAGAAAAAGAAGACAGTGCAGCGTGAAGATAGATGAAATAGTATACCTCATATCAGTAGATATAGTATGACAGTTCCCATGTATTTTCTTATCAAGGTTCATTTTCGTTCAATTTTATCCCCTCCATACCTACTCTGACGTCACGGGTTATCGTCATCCATCTTTAAAGGCTTCGCTATTTGCTCCGGATACTGGATGCTCCATCTCCCTGAGGTCCCCTTCATCTGTACTTCGTTGATCATAAGATGCTCCCTTGCTGCTGCGTATATCAAAGATGCAATTAATGTTATTAAAGACAGGACAGCTTCAGGGATAGATGTATAGGTGCAAAAGATTAGCATGCTAAAGATGTGTGGATGAAATAACAGTATTGCCATCCAGCAAGGAGGAGTTACGAGTTAGATTTATATAAAATACTAGTTTTTCCCCGCGGCTTCGCTCGCAGAAATTAGTATTGTTTCTCCATAAAACCTTTTAACTTAATTCACCCTTACAACGTTTTAATTTTATGTAATGTTGCCATCTTAGATTTCAAATACAAACGTAGCAACAACATTTCAAATTGCCAAAAGACGTATTTGCTTAATTTCAACAATGAGTAACCTTCGAGTAAATCCGAGTACAAATAAAATATACTCCATGGAAACGTTGCAACCACTTTTCATTTGATTAATAATATCAAACAGCAGATATACCAAGTTTCAAGTAAATTCAACCACAAATAAAGTATGTCCCAAACAAAAATTGCAACACCTTTCCCTTTTTTAAAATGTCGAGATAGATCATTCAGAAATTAAATGAGAGACCATTAAAACGAACTTTCAAGTAAATTTGACCACAAATAATATATGTTCCATTTAAACATTGCAACTTCTCTTCACCACTCATCCCCCCAACAGAGATTAAATTTTTTAACCAGTTTCAAGTAAATCGGACCAAAAACAAACATGCAATCTTTGCAAACCCCTTTCAGCTTCCTAAAGAGGTAGAATTGTGTAAAATGTTGAAATAGGTATGTATGTTACTAATTTTATATGAAAAAGCATTAAAGCCATGTTTCAGGTAAATGTGACTATAAATAAAACACCATACTTAACCATAGACAACATTACCTTTAGCTGTCAGTTGCGTTTTCTTATTCCATGTCAGTTGCGTTTTGTTATGCCATTTTTAACAAATGAACGGCTAGACTGATGATTTGATTTATAAATTTTTCGTTTTGCTGTCATTTGCGTTTTGTCATTCCATGTCAGTTGCGTTTACATACACCACGTTTTTCTCGTGGAACGTGATAAAAAGTATCCTATGTCCTTCTCCCGATTATAAGCTACCTCGCCACCAATTTTCAGCCAAATCGGTTCAGCCGTTCTTGAGTTATAAATAGTGTAACTAAGACGACTTTCTTTTATATGTATAGATTTAAGCGGCATTGACAAAATAAATATGGTATGAAAATTAATAAAAATAAAGTAAACATTTTGGTATGTAAGAGATGTAAGAGTACGGTAAATTGGAGGGCTCTGATTTTTGATATTTAGGGAGTCAGATAATTCAGTATGGACCGCTAGAGATGTAAAACAAAGAATATCGCGGGGTTGCTTTGAGAATTATTGGAAATCCTGTTTTTTAATAGAAGAAATATATAATAAGTGTATGACAAATGGTGTGCCGTCATATTCACAAGTGAGTGCAAGTGATACATACTACAAATGAATGAAAAAGGTGATAATTTGTGTAAATGCCACATGGATACAAAACTACACTCCATTTCAATTTGTTAGAATTGTGACCTTGAAGAAATCTGCGCGAAGATAGAAAGAATACACACTAGGCGCGAGCAAGACACAAATAGTTGGAACAAGCTTGAACGAGCAGAGCTCTCGATGGGCGGTCTTAAATGATTGGCTAGAACTGTACAGTACTAGACGAAAGCAATTTCTTAAAACAAAAATGTATATAAATTAACAATAGAAAACAAAGCAAAAGTTTTATAGGTGTGTAGAACGTTAGGTTAATTCACTTGTTATTATTTTTGGCTAAATATGTTTTTAAATAAAGCATATTCTTAAATTTTAACGAGGCAGTTTAAATAATTTTGCAAATGGTACTGTACACTTTTGTCTAGTTCTCGCTCGATGATCGGTG